TATATTTTTCTCTCTGAAAAGATGTATGAAGATTAGTAAAACGTCTAATGATAAATGTAATAGTGCCTATTGAAACAAATTATATATTTTCTCTAAGATGCTAAATCTTCATAATACTTGGCACAGGATAATGTTTCCCATTCTGGTTAATTTATTTGTTTTTTTAGATTAAACTTTGCATTTATGATGCATTGTCTTTAATTTTGTATGGAAACTCTGTATTCCTGAGTTTATTCAAGAAGATCAGAGAAGTTACATTGTTATTGTAATCATATATAAAGATATAAATACAAGTGTGTCAATTTACTGACTGTAATTAGTAAATATTGATGTATTTTCATTGTGAAATTCATAGAAAATTTCATTAATAGATAGCTAATAATTTTTTATAATTATTGTGGTAGATATTAACAGGTTATTAGCATTTTTTTTTGTTATAGCTAAAGCTTGTGTGGAACTTGCCTTTAAACCGATCCCTGGGTCCAGGGTTCAAGTCTTGTAGACTAGCAGGATTTCACACAAATAAGACCTCTCTCCCTAAAGGCCAACTTAGACAGCGTTGTACCATGGAGGTATTATTGAGAAGGAGATCACTCAAAAAAGCTATGCGCACGCAGCGCTATGCAAATGACCCAAGATCAAAGCTGCCGCAGCGCGTGAAGAACGTTTACACGATGCCTTTGAAGTCCCATGTGTTCCCCGCCATCAAATTTTCAGCAGGCATAGTTTACCAAAAAATTCAACATGGCGAAATGGAGAGCACCTTCTTTTCTCGATGCGCACTACATACGGTCAATCACAATGGCTGCGCAATCATTTCCATTTTGACGCTGATACATTTATCTCTCATAAAATATCAAACATATTAATATTTTCCACCAAAAAAAGTTTCGAATTTAATGGAACATTTACATGGCATTTAAAAGTATAGTATAGTTCAACTTCAATTTCCATAAATTGGCCAAAATTCGCTTATTCTAGTTTTAACAGATATTAATTAATAAATGATTGAGGATTATTATAAACTAAGTCATTTTAGGGTTAACGAGGGTTAACTATTCGAAAAATCAATCCAAAATCTGAGTATTTTTCAGTTTTACGCTGACTTAGCTTTATAGTCGAACTAATCAATCTTTAGACAAAATTATAATGAACACAGAAGTAATTTTAACATAAATATTTTACGGAATCCTGAAATATACAAATAATAACATACCAAGTCCGAAAAAATCTAATCAGGGGAACACTGTTCATTATAAATATATTTAATGGGTTAAAATCAAACGCTTTTTGCACAACTGCTCTGCTGGAAGCGTATAAATGCATGTCATTGCCAAGTTGTTGCTAACGAAAAAATATGAATTATAGGGTAATACGCCCGCGCGATGCAAAAGCGGGGAACACATGGGTTTGTCGCGTCAAAGGAAACTGTTGCCGAGTGATCTCCTTCTCAATAATACCTTTGTGGTTGTACAATGCAGCCCAATGCGATTCATCGTCAGGACAGTGTTAAGCTGTCGTGAGAAATATTAAACAAAAAATGTTTAATATCCTACGATGCGACTGTACCCGACGCAGACCATCACATCTGCGTCTAACTCACACAGACCCGACGCGACAACAAATTGCATTGGGCTGCGTCGTACAGTACAACGCCGTCTGAGTTGGCCTTAAACCTCATGATGAGACTTGGTTTTAATGGGAGAATAATAAGCTTCTTACAGAGCAAGTTTTCCAGTGTAAATAAATATAAATAAAAATGCTCAGAAATTCTGGAATTAAATTTCTAGGGTTCTAGTTATCATGATAGAGGTGCTGTTAACAGTAAAATGTTTGTTTTGTCAATATTAAAGGTTCATAAAAAGTTGATCAGGGTACAAAAACTAAAAATAGATTTGTTGATTTTCAAAAAGAAATAGAAATTGATTTCTACTAAGTTGAATTATCAAAGTGAAACAAGTAACACATTAGGCAAGACTTTTTTTATACCTTGTTTCGCAAAAAAAAAAAAATAGTTTTCTTATTTAGGCAAATGCTTTTGCCTAAATTATTCAGATGGAAAATAAAATAAAATTACAATTTTATTGTAGATGTAAACAGTGTAGTAATGGGATGGTTAAATCCTTTAGATTTATATAATTATGACGAAATTATTTACAGTATCTTATTTTTAGAGATTTTAAGGCAGCGGCGGCATAATAAAAATAAAGGAAAACTTTAAATTTTTTCTGAAATGTCCATTTTTTTGTGGCGGGTGTGCCTAATTGGCCAAAAATAAAATTTTATTTTTATTTGAAATCATCAATATTGGCAGGCGGCTAGTTTGCGAAACAAGGTATAAGAAAAATCTCGCCTTTATAAGAGAAATATATTAAAAAAGATCATAAACATATTGAAATTTAATCATTCAGATTTTACTGGAACAATTTTAATGAATTGAATTAAGCTATATGAATGTTGCTAAGGCAAACCACAAGATGCAGTCTGTATTATATGAATGATAAGTATGCTTTTATAAAGGATAGTATCATGCAAGACTGTCTCCAGTCGCCCTGCCCCGCCCTGTGGCAGAGCAACATCTATGGGCACTCGCTGGTTTAGACCACATGGACATGAAGGCCTTCCCCATATTATTCAGGCTAAAGAAATCCAGTACATGTTTAAATATTGTATTATTTTTTTTGAAAACCATTTGTACGGTGTCAGTAAAGTGGGTTTATAGAAACAATTAATCTGAAAAAATACTTGTTGGTAGTACTAGTAGTATTTATTATTTTTTTCAAAAGAGCTTTGTAGTAGCTTTTCATTATAGAGAATTAAGTTGGGTTAATGCTCAATATAAATATTTTCTTTGTTTTTTTTTTGTTGAACACATTCAGTCTGTATTTATGTGATATAGCAAAGTTATGTTATACAGTAGGTCTATTGAAGCTACTGTAATTTGATTCTATATTTTATGATGAAACTTGTCTGTAATATTGTCAAAATCACGTAAACTCAACCCAGTGTGTAGGATTTATCAAAATCCTTGAAACTGCACCCAAAAAATTGGCAAAGCAAGCTGGTGATTCTCTCTCATAAACCAAACCATGATTATTTCCCCTAGACTTGCATGTTGTCCCAGACCCCAACCCAATCACAGTGTATTGCCGTACAATGCCTCAAAAGCCAACCCCTTACAATACTCCTCTCCCGGCTGTGCCATTACAAACTGAATTAAATTTTGGACATACCAATAAATGCATAAATTAACTTCTATTTTACCTTTTAAAATTCCAATTACTGTAGTTCTTTTTTCACTTCACGATGTGAAAATATGGTGTTTTTGTTTTTGTGTCTGCTTTGCCAACATAAATGTTTTTTTTTATTCAATTTGTAGCTGAGACTGTTATATTTTGCAAATAATTAAATATTAATTTACAAGATTTTGGGTGCTCATCAAATAGCATTGTGTATTCTATTCTTGTCCATGTTTATTATATATTTTCATATTTTCTTGAGAATATTATATTAGTTTTATGTTTTATTTATTCCTTGTTATATTTAATCATATTTTTTTTTTTATCAATATCGTAATTGTATTTTTTATTATGCATGTAATGAAATAATATAATTCAATAAAGATGAAAATATTGCATTTATGTAAATTACAATTTTATGATATTCAAAAAATTATTATTTAGCTAATTATAATTTAACATCCAAAATGAAGTTTTTAGGAATATTTGGTTACCCAAAATAATATTTCAGAGAGTTTGTAATATGTAAAGTAAAAAGAATATATAAAAATTAAATTGATTAATTAAAGTTGAGTACAGATTACTTATATTCTGTATAAACAAAGACTGTACATATGTAAAGGTTGAACTTGTATTTAAGAAATACAGATCATGTGACTTTGGTTTTAATATTGGTAAATTTTTTTAAACCATTTTATATACAAAATGCGATTTTCGCCCAAAATAAATCCTTTGTCGTCTTATCGCTATGGTTATGGTACAGTACCATGATGTGTGTTAGTATTTTATAATAAATGTTTTAATTGGACAAATGTTTTACAATTTTTTTATTATCAGTTTGCAAGATACATCCAGATAATACAAGCTTAATATATATACTCATTTAATTCATGTACATGCACTGTAGAAAGAGAGACAGTTTAGTGATGGAGAAGGTCCTTTTATTGTACAGTATATGGTTCTCTACCTCTTCCACGATATTTGAGTTTATTTGTCCAGTATTGATTCAAATAATTAAATGAAATTAATGTTTGACCAGACCGGTAGAGACTACTGGACCAGAAATGAAAAGCTTATGTTAAAGCAACACTATTAATTACTATAAGTTGTTAAATTTAATTGCCCCACATAAAAGGTATATTATAAAGAATTTTAAAACTTTATTTTAAATTTATTACTTAAACTTACAGTAGTTTATATGTAGCACTCTACTCTTGCATGCAAGTAATAATAAATTATCCTGTAATACATATAATGCAATTAAAATGAGCACTTACTTTAAAACAATTAAAATATTGAGAATAATGATTTTGTAAAAGTGTACGACAATGAAAATTCATTTACAGCTCAGAAATAATCACAGCTGTATACTATTCCAAAATTATGTAGTAAACTGAAAAACATGTATAGTACAGTACACTTATTGACATGACAATGGCAATGACAAAAATATTTATTTCATTTGAGCATGAAAATATACGAAAAATATAAATGTACAACATTTTTAAAGATCAAAGAAAATGGGAAATTCCTGAAGCATAGCTTGTAAATGGATATCCAAAATTTTCTTTTACATATAAGTTTAAAAAATAATTCAAAGGCCTATTTTACTTAAATTAAAGAAGTTTAAAATTTAATAGAAAAATTCTATTTCTTTTCTGTAAATTATATTTTGTATTCATTAATAACAACATCTTAATTACTTTTAGTTTCTTATATTTATTAGAGTATTTTAATATTTATTTTTAAAAAAAAGTTTAATCTGAAAATTGTAATGTCTGTTCATTTGGCTTTTATATTTTTAATTTTTGAAAATCAAACAGATGCAGTTATAAACTAAAAAAAAAATTGGTAAATCCGACAACAAACGTGAAAAGTTGACGTTGGAAAGCAATTTCGAGACGAACGAGGGCATGATCTTGCGTAAACGTGCTAATTATATCGATCGAGATTTCTGACAGTAGCATTGTTTTGATTATGTTTATAGCGTAGCCAAAGCATTGGACCTCTCTGCTTCGGATTTGTTTATCCATCACTATAGAGAAGTGACGTAATTCCTTGTTATGGTAATTGCCCACGACGAAGTTAAGTGTGTACAGTTTGATAGCAGATTGTGTGTGATCGGTTAACTGAGTATAATTTCCATCTATTTGTAGTATCTATAGTCTTTCTAGGCGCAAATTGCTGAAAGGTAATGTGTAAATGACAATATTTATTTTTATCAGTTAATTATTAGCCAGCATAGTTAGGGCTGTAGCTCTGACGAAGGCCGCTGGGCTAGCCTAGGCCTATCCAAGTCCTTCTTTGTGGTGGGACTGGTTACCACTACCATCCAATGCAGACAGCAGCAGCACATCATCAAAGGCTCATCACATTTCTTGTCCCGGTGATTTGCCTTTTGTCGAAAAAATATTTGCTGCTGTAATGAAACTACGTTTACGTTAGTAATGATGCACAAATATACCTAGATTAGGAAACAATGTGACTTTAAAATTTATTATATTTTTATTCAGGCCTAGGCCAAGGCCTAGTAGGGCCTAATAATATATATATATTATTGTTGTTAGCCTAATGTTAAGCCTAGGCAAGGCTGAGAACTGCGCAGTTACCAGTAGGCCCAACAAGCCTAATAATAGAAATAGGCCACAATAATTGAGTCATGAGATCAACAAATCAGTTACTACTAGGCTAACCTAGGGCCAGTGCCTACTAGTAGGAGTACCTAGCCTACGGTACTTAAAAAAAAGATAAGATAATGCCTATGTTTGGACTGCGGAGACCCTAGGCTGCAGAAGTACTTAAAAATGATAAACCAAAATAAGTTTTGGTAAAACTTCGCAAAAGACTTTGCTTCAATTTTTTTTTTTTTTTTTTTTTGTCTGCAGATGGGTTGTGCAGCATCCTCCACTTTGGCACAAGTGGAAACAAACGGGTACACTCAACAACAACAAAATAAACAAGTAGTTGTTATAAATCAGGGACATGCCCAACAGCCTGTTCAGCAAGCTCCTCCTAATTATCCACCTCCACAACTTCAGCATCCCAGAAATGCACCAGCGCCACCGCCTCAACCGACCCCTCTACCTGCTGCTCCACGGCTGGTAAATACTCAAAAAGAAGAAGAGGTAGGCAAATACGTAATCCTACATGTACAGCAGTAGTAGGGTTAATCATAGGAGTGATGTTTTGCACGACCTGAGATGTTGTACTGAATACTAAATTCTAGACTTGTCAAAAAGTCTAGTTTATTGATTTTTTTTCCTGGAGCATTAGATAATTAGAGAGCCACCAGCATCTGTTTTTGTTGGGAAACTTGTTATGCTGTTGAATTTCGCTAGGATATATGGAACTCCAGGCAAATAAGTAATATGGAACACGTACCATTGGTGCCAAAATCAATTTATTTTTAAGCATTTTCACCAAATTTAGGCACTGGAATTCTAAATATGTACGGAAAAAAAATAATCTTGCAAGTGAATCATGTTAGAATCGAACCCACAACCTCCAGATATCTAACCTGGTGTCATAACCACTAGCCCATTATTCGAGCTTGTGCAAAGTGGCTAGTGTGGAATCCGATTCCCAAGTCGGCCATCCCGAGGCAAAACAACGTAACTGTCATTTTTGTCGATTTTTAGATAATATCATTTGGGAGTATGTTAAACACGTCTCCTGCAAAATTCTATGGAACGGCCGAAGTAGCATTGGGTACTGCAATGCTTAATTAATTCTTTATTTTAAAGGAAAACAGAGTATGAATATTGAAGTTATTTAAATTTTAAATAGTATTTTCTGTACCTTATTGTGAACTTTTTTTAACCGTGAAATTTCAAATTTCTCTTTCCTTCAGCCGGCTGAAGTTGTGTTCAATGAGGATCTTGTGAAGCAGCTGGTTGATTTAGACAGAGAGGTCAACCAATTAGAATCTCGCAATGTCACTAAGCGATATCAACTTCAAAATAATCAAATTCTACAATTAAATAATAGAGTCCAGAAGATGACAGTTGAACTACAACAACTGGAGGTTCAAACGTAAGTCACTCACATTTCGGGCAGGGATCCAGACCTTTCACACCGTTTGCCGTGGAGAAGGTCAGGATGAGAGATAAAAAATTTAAAATTATAGCGGCCTAAATTGAGCAAGTCTCAGTTTATACTTCTTTTAATAGAAGTGCTGTAATTTGCCTAAAATCCTCAGCTCTCTTAAGAGTTAGGGAGCTCACCAATCCTGTGGTCTCTGCCCTGTTACATTGTACTTATTTTATATATTTTTACTATACAAGAAAGTATAATACGTATTGAAATGCACGCCATCGTTTTGGGATTCAATATTTCGTCATTAATTATGTCATCATCAGGAATTTTACTATACAATTTTATATAAATTATTTACAAAATGCTTTTTCAAATTTCATTCCATTGACCACTTTTAGAAGGAAGGAATATCAAGATGTTGCAGCACTTCAGAACAACCCAAGTGTCAAACAGATGATGACTCAGATGCAGTACGTACAGCAGATGGCGAAAGAACAGGAGGAGTACATGGCGGCATTAAACAGGCAAGAGATCCACAAGAAAGAGCTGGATGCCACAAATGCACAGCTTGTCAGCATGAAAAACGACCTAGGGCAATTGAATGCCGATATGGCTAAATTGAAGGACTTATACGACAAACAGGATACACTGTTGTGTGAGTACTTTTCTGTTAAATCTCTGTCTATGCTATCAAGTTTTATGATTTGCCCATATATGGGTGTGATATGATATCATCATGCCCATATATAGGTGTGATATGACACCATCATGCCCATATTTGGCCATTATATGACACCATTATCTCCTTATATGAATTTATATATGTTTTATATTCTTTTTGTACATCTTATGACTAGATATTGTGCTCATAGTGTTATATCCTTGTTATCTTTTATTTATTACTGTTTATGTTGTTAACACTTGTGACACTGTCAGTGGATTGTAATTTCTGGGTTTTTCAGACAATAAAATTATCTTGAATCTTGAATCACTAAATTATTGTAAAGATTGATAATGTGCATAGAGAATTAAAAATACATGATATATTCAGTTGTTTATTTTATTCTTAATAATAATAATAATTTACATTTATAAGCGCATGTTGTGCCGTGCCTCACTGCGCTTTACATCAAATTATAAAACAAAAAGAATGATGACTTAACAATAATAAGCTATAAGCAGCCAATTAATGAATTTCTTTATACTATAAGTAAAAACATAATTATTGTAAAGAATAATATTGTAGAGGATTGTTAGTTTGAAATCTAGATTCTGAATCCTTCCATTAGTACAATCTGTAAAACATAGGTAAGTATCACATATAACAATTACAGTAGTTTCAATACATATAAATAATCACTTATTTTAGTTATCTATAACAATAAATAACCTGTAAAATAAAGAGATATAAAATGAATTATTTTTTATATAATCAGATTTATCTTTTCTATAAATACGGATATGTAAAATATATGAGAACTAGTTTAAATTTAAAATCTGGAATGTTGACGTTACAAAAAAAATATTGATTTATCATAGCCTGTGGCAAATAATATGTTGTTGCTTGGTAACAGATACCAATAATAGTCAAGGTTGATCCATATTTGAACATACTACACAGCACTGTGCAATATATTGACCAATTAACACTTAGTATATTTATAGACTTCACCTGTTTCTAAATATATTATAAACTAGTAGTAGTTAATGTCATACAAATTCCTTACAATCACACTTTCATTAATAAAACGTTATTTCCTGTTTTCTTCACCAGCAACCATCTTTGATGGTAAATACGGCAGCGAAACTGAATACAGGTTAGAGACGGAGCTTGATCTAAGCTTGGAAAAGAAACAACGGGTGATGGTTGCTAAATATAAATGGAGCAACGGAAAGACTTTAATGCAGCACGCATCTGGCCAGTTAGGCTTTGCTGTAAGACGATGGCAAGATGTTGCTAGGATACCGCCCTCGTAAGTCTTTGAATTCTAGATCCAAATCGTTCTCATTATACTTTACGCTTGCCATCCTAAAACCAGCGTACTGTCGCTAAATGTTAATCTGAGTAATTAGCATAAAAATGTATTATATAATATTGTGTATACTTAGTACAAAGAAACTGTAATACTTTTACTCACAACATTGGAAATAGTAAGTCAGTTCCAGTATGACCTGTCATTTATTTTCATGCTGGTTTTGGCATGATAAGCTCCATTTTGTTTTATTCTGAAAAAAAAAAAAAAAAATATTGAGTCGAAAAATATTGTGGTGTCATGATTTGAAAAAAAAAAACCTGGGATTGAAAGGCAAGCATTTTAACCACCACACTACAGCTTCACTTAAGCAAGACATGTTTTTTTCAAGATTGTCAGAGGCAGGCGGAAAAAAAATAAAAATAAAATGTTGTTTTCAATTTCATATTTAGCAACTGGTTTTGCCAGAAACACCCAGATGGAGGAGAAAATAAAAACAAAATCTTATTGGGGAATTAGAGTGTAGTAATGGGATGGTTAAATGCTTTAAATTTATATAAATAGAAAGAAATAAACATAACTTATTTTTGGATATTTCAAGGCAGCAGCGGGTGTAATAAAATTAAGAGAAACTTAAATTTTTTTTCTGAAATTGGCCAAAACTAAAATTTTTATTTTTATTCAAATCATCCTTATTGGCGGGCGTTGGGTTAAAGAAACAAGGTATAAAAAGGCTCGCCTTAAGTTGCTTTCCACTAAGCCGCACCCCTTGGATATTGTTCCTAAGTTGAAGGACCTTAAACAGTGTACTGTATGTTCATAGGACATGGCTTAATCTTGGCTATAAAATAACACATTTTGATTGGTTAGTTGTTTGACATTTTCCAGAAAAATCCAATTGCATAATTTCTGTTTTATAATGTTTTTATTATGTATTACAGTATGCCTAGGTTTTGTTAGTTATAATACCTAATTTCATTTTCATATACTGTACTGAACAGGAACGGTCAATTAATCTATCAGTTTGCGGCCGAAACACGGAACAATCTCGTTGCAGCCTCTCAGAACATAATGAGTGCCCAACGCTACCTCAATAACATAAAGTTCCCATACTGTACCCCAGAAGAAATAACAACGCTTAACACAGCCATCTCCAACATTTTCACTGACATGAGGACAACAGAAAGACATCAACATGCCCTCCAGTGCTACTCTGTCGTCTGGCGTAGGTCATCAGCTCTCGTGCAGTGGTTTGATCATGTAAGTAGTTCCTCTAGATATAATAGACATTTTACTATCAAAGACATGCCCGATAATCATTGGGGTTCTCTATGGTTCAGCTGAACCCGTTTTCGAGTTAATCCCCTCTGATTAAACCAAACCACATCCTCTTGTTGCTTTAATAAGCATCAAAATGATGAAGACATTCATCATTTACATGCCGGAATGCTTCCGCCCCAGTGGTCATTGGATCAAGCGCATATGGAACACATTCAGCTCACTGGGGAGAATTCCATAATGTTGCAGCTGTAATCAGTGCATTTTGTGTTTGAACCTACCAGGTACCCACTTTACTCCTAGGTGGAGAGAGATAACTGTGGGTAAAGTGCCTTGCCCAAGGACACAAGCAAAATGCAAAGCAAGGGAATGAACCTCTATCCTCAAGGTTCAGAAGCAGAACCACAATCACTGTGCCCAAACCGCTCCTGCTATAGATCAGATATTCCAGTCTTCTTTTACACTGACGACCATCACATTGTTTAACATAGCAAGCACTTTTGAATGATATGTACGTTTCAATAAAAACTCAAATATTGGAGAATACATCACTTACATGTCATCTAATGAATTTCCCCTTGTAAACCTGTTTGTCATTTAGGTTATAACGAAGACAATCCTACGAGACTTAGATGCAGCAACAAAGGAATGCGCCGCTAAACAGCGCGAACTGAAGATGGAGAGGTTGAAACTGACAAAAGAAAAAGTACGAGAAAAGATGGGAGATGAAGTAGCTGACACAATTGAAATACAGCAAGGTGAGTTAGATATACTGAAGTCATAATGTCTGAAATAAACCCAAACAAATAAAATTAACTGAATCGCCTGTTTAAAGGGACGAAATAAAGCCGATAATTTGACTGACGTAGATAAAAATAATACCTACAGATTTACTGCTACAGTTTAAAAACTTTTTACTACAGAGATTATAAATTTTAATTAAAAGTACCAGCCAACATTGGTCTGTGCTGCTAAGAACATTGGAATAGTATTTTAAAAAAGAAAGTATAATACATACTCCAAGTATTGAAATACACGCCATCGTGTTGGGATTTTAAATGTATCTGTTATGTGGAAAGTCAAAAATAATTTTGATTTGAAAGTAGTAAATAACTTACTCATACATTAGTGTGCATTTTAATAAAGCACCAATTTTCAAGTTTTAGTTTTATGTAGAGGGCCTCTTACTATAATTATATCTGTAATTATTAAAATATACAGTTGCAGCAGATAGTGTTGCACTAGAACTTAATAATTAATTAAACATTTCCCACCTTTGATTTGACTTTGGTGTATTCAGACATAAAGGGACAAGAATTGCCAAAAGCAAACAGATCACTTACATAGTGACATTCTCTTTGATGACACAACACAATGTAGACATTTATGCAAGTGACAAGAAGTGAATTCATGAGTACCTAGGCAATTCCTACAATTTACTTTTCAGTGTACCAAGTTCATTTTTGTTCACAAAACCATTAACAAACAAGACCAACAACTTAACATCCCTTTCAAAGGACAAAGTAAATTTAATTAAAGTGTCTTTTTATACCAAATCCTGATATGACATTTTTTATTAACAGATGTTGGAGAAGATAAGGATGAGGAACCAGAATTATTAATGCTGATGGTAGATGCTGACAAAGTTTCACTTGATGGCAACCAGGAGGTAAATCTATTTGCAGCTTTCTTTGCTTTCAAAGTGATAGGTTTTGCTGATGATAATTGGCTTGAAAAGCTAGAAATGAGGTGGTAAAGAAATTTTGAAAACATGGTGTTGAAATTGAAGCTTATTATACCTATTAAGTACCTGCTCAATGATTTATGATTATTGGCCTTTATAGCAAGCATGTATATTATATGAAATTATTATATATACTTAGAAAAAGAATATATATATAAGATGTGTATAAGAGACAGGTGTACTGTATGTTCATAGGACATGGCTTAATCTTGGCTATAAAATAACACATTTTGATTGGTTAGTTGTTTGACATTTTCCAGAAAAATCCAATTGCATAATTTCTGTTTTATAATGTTTTTATTATGTATTACAGTATGCCTAGGTTTTGTTAGTTATAATACCTAATTTCATTTTCATATACTGTACTGAACAGGAACGGTCAATTAATCTATCAGTTTGCGGCCGAAACACGGAACAATCTCGTTGCAGCCTCTCAGAACATAATGAGTGCCCAACGCTACCTCAATAACATAAAGTTCCCATACTGTACCCCAGAAGAAATAACAACGCTTAACACAGCCATCTCCAACATATATCTTTGTTATTGTACAGTACTGTACTTGTTTCCATGGGTATTTTATAAATAATGTGTTTACTACTGTTGCAATATGACTGTGCAAGATCAGAATTTTACTTCCCACCAAGCTTAAATATTGAAATAATAAAGAGTACTAAACTAACTAAATTCTACTTCGTAATAATATATATCGCTAATTAAAATTCCACCAATTGTTGTTTTAAATAATGTTTATATATTTTTATTTATAATTTTGATTTATTATAATACTTATAAATGTGTTTATTCACAACAATGTTAGTTGATAAGATTCTCCCAGTGTTTTCTGCCAAGCATAGCATTGTAAAGGGAGGATTACAAACAGTGGCACATCTTGAGGTGTGTACACACCTCCTCCCCTCACTGAAAAAGTTTAAAGAAAAAATACTACTCTCATGTAGTTAAAATCACCTCATATCACCTTGTTTTGTGAGCCACCACCCCCTCTCTTAATCATCACAAGTTCTCGTCTTGTGGATTCTAGTATGCAATTTGACCAAATCTATGTTGTGCAGAGAATGTAAGATGGTCATGCATGAGTGAAATCATTCAAGAGTCGTTGCGCAAATCAAAATCTCCCTATTAAACCCCATTTCAAGACTCCTAGATACCCCAGTCTCCAATTCAACATTTTAAGGTTGATGTTAGGACTACCTCAACAATAAGGGGTGTCTTGTTATCAATATTTATATGCTGATTTCTGTACTTGAAATACCTTGATTTTCCCCCTATTGTCATTGCATTAAAAATATGTAAACAAACTTCTATGTGTTTATTTGTCATTTTGTTGTCTGTACAATTGAATTGATCCAAATTATGAGTTATTTCCATTCACGTATGTTTTTAAATTCAGACATTTTCATATAAAATACTGTAATTTGTAAAGGAAAAATACAAGAATAATATTTTTATATGTCGGTATCGATGTAGTGCTCTACAGTCTCCGAGGACTATTCCAAACAAATTCTACTGCTGACTGTTCAACTCGGAAAATAGGTGGAATGAACACTCTTAGAAGATAACTTAAAATCTGAATACATTTTATTTGCTCCAATACATCTTTACCAGCCCACATATACAAAATAAGATCATTCCTATAAATACATAAAAAAATTATCAAGGTGTCATGATGAATGCTATATTGCATTTTAAGTTCTTAATTCTGTGTATACACACAAACTTTGGTCAGAAAATTCAATGACGATAAAAGGTTATCAACATTCATGATTATTTGATAAAAATAAATATTTGTTTAATGTCCAAGGTTAAAATTAGTATCTAGTATTATGCACAATATAATGTGCTAGACATTTTGGCTTTAGAAATAGAGCCTAATCACCAATATATACAAATAAAAATCTTAAAATGAAATTTTAACTCAAGGCTATAGAAATGATTTATAAGCATTACTGTTGTACGTATATGGAATATTTATATAGTACTAATTATGGAATGGAGTTTGAAAGACAAGCAATGTTCTGTAAAGGCAACAAGGTTAATGATCATGTGTTTTTATAGCCCCTTCCACAGCAAAAAACCGTCTCAATTTGCTTATTAGCCACTAAGAAACTAAAAAATTATTTGATGAACAGACGTGAATTCGAAGGGGAGAAGGAAGGTCCACAGCTCTGGTTTTGAGATGGCGTCCATCACTACCGTGTACAAGGCCATGTATCTAGTTTTGCTATTTCGAGATGACATTATTCTAGGGTTTTGAATTACTGTCAAGATCAGATGATAATACACATCATAATTTTATCTTGTCACATGGGTGAACCAAATATTACTGTTTGTAAAATAATAATACAGTAGAACCCTTTCCAGCTGCGTAGGCCTAGTAGTACTAATAGTACTGCTAGTAGTAGTAGGGCAGCTAAAACAGTGTTAAAGAGAACGGCTTCTTTCTGTATTAGTATTGATGAGAAGATTCTTACACATAGTGAGCGGCTAGTAATCCACAATACCTGGTCAGCAATGTTTAATACATAATTGTGGGCTTTGTCTATCTGAAAAGGTTTACATCTGATTAAGACTTCCATTCATCAATTAAAACATTCTGGAATTTATCTAAATGGACTGTCGCTGAAAAAGAAATTATAAATCTACAAAATATGTTCTGATTATGATGAGTGGCAGTGTCCTTATTCCTGTGGTGCCATGGAATCTGGTATAGGTGTAAGCAGCTTCTTTACAAAATCTGCATACTGTATTTGACCGTTCTTTGCAATACCAAATTCTCGTAAAACTGCATCCACTAGAGAAATAAAAGGAATTGCTTACGATTACAATACTTCATACTAACATTCAAACATGTTTATAATAAGCATTTGCTCCACAGACATTTCTACCAATCTACTATTGTGATAAATATTGTTGGATTTATATAGCATTTTATTGGAGCTCAAAGTATCAGGGTGTGGACTAGTAATTTGCTTCTCCCCTAAGGATCTCTTCGTGTCTGAGCCACCCAGTAAACTGGTACCAGCAACAGTCCACAACAGGGCTGTATGGAGCATTACACTGAGGTAACCCCCTACTCGTCTCAAAAGATTACTTGGGTCTTGGAGCCATATAGTGTACACTATTCCTATGGTTTATAGTCCTTTTACCTGAGAAGACTTGTTCCCACACCATAAGCACACTAAGTTGTGCAATTTGAACCAGCGCTGATATGTGACTGTATGTTGCCGAGCGCCTGGCTTAACTGCTCAGTCATTCGACTTGCAAATGTAAAGTGCTATAAACTATGTACTTACAAAATATTTTGACAGTTTCTATGAAACGGAGATCTGCTTTACATTGGCATGGCAAAGACGAATGAATGAAACATAAATCAAATTACGGTAATCTAAAAATGTATTATAGAATCAATAACAGTACCTTCTCTTTCTTTTAATTTTTCTCCAAATGTGCACATGATACGCTTAAATTCTTTAACGGAAATGTAGCCTTGCTTCTTTACATCGGCGTGGTAGAACGCGTCAAGTATTTCTCTTGAACAACTCTCATTTCTCTGCTGTTCATCCATTATGAGGAGGAAGTCATCAAACTGTATTTTCTTTTCTAAGTGAACCAAAGGAGGGCAGTTTTTCAAAATACATTCTACAACTACTACAACTTCTGTACAAATTTTAGAAAGAAATACCCTCGAAAATTCAATTTGAATAATGCATTGCTCATATTATATGGATCAAACAAACGGAAAGGAAGTTGCCATGCCAAAACCGGCATTCATATTCTCCACATTATAAGCTTTAAACCAAAAGGTCCACTGATTAATCTCAGATAAGATAGTATAATACATACTCCAAGTATCGAAACTGATGATGACATAATTAATGTCGAAAAATTGAATCCCGACACGATGGCGTGCATTTCAATACCTGGGGTATGCATTATACTATCATAAGCTTTAAAATGATAAATAATACAAAAGTATAACAGCTTCTCTCTAATGTATACAATACTGTCACATTCTTAAATGCTAATGACTTATACCCCATTCAGACTAGCATCGCATTGCGATCGGTTGTAGCAATTGCGGCACCCAATCGCAAAGTAAAATCGTGTGTGAAAGCTTGCCAATAGTAGTCGATATGTAATCGATATCGCAATTGTTACCCGTTGCGATTGGGTGCTACAATTTTTATTACTCCCGATTACCACAGAATCTGATCGCAACGAATCACAACGAATTCCACAGCCACTGTTTGGCTGAGGTCAGGCAACATAGGCCTAGCCACCGGAGGTCTAGGCCCTAGAATGTAAAGTTTGTTTGTGTTGGTCTGAATGCGTTCGTTGATTGCGATCGGGAGTAATCAGTTTTGGATTACCACTGATTACATCGCAACCGATCGCAAGAGAGTGTAGTCTGAATAGGGTATTAGTTTAACATTTAGCAACATTATGCTGGTTTTGGGATGCAAGCCTCAAATTTAATTGAGGGATTTGCCCCTCTGAACTTTGTGACTTGACCCTGAACAGGGCCTTGCAGTCCCTCTGACCATACTGAAAGAACCCCTTCTTGTTAAACAGCTTTTCTCCCTTAAATATAATATCCTAGAGCCACCACCATTGGCAGAAAATATCAGTTGTAGGCCAGACAACAAACGGAATAGTGTGGAGTATATCAAGAAAGTTTTAAAAGAAGACAAAGAAACAAAATACCTTATTCTAGGGTAGCAAGAACTGGTACCAAAAAAGGGTAGGCATGCAGTTGGACCAACAATAATTAAATTATGATATAATTAAAATCAGTCATTATTTATATCTAAGATCACAGTTTTTATACTTGGTACAGTATACTGAATTCCCTGCCTACCTTTTTCATACTGTCTACGATAAGCTCTGATTTCCTGCGTTGTTGGACTGGTATACAATGACCTCATCACCCGAGCAAGGTCATCAGCTCTTATGACACCTTTCCTTGAGCTGTCGTGCAGAGAAAAACAATCTCGATATTCTGAAAAAATTCACCAAAAAGATAGTTCTCAATAACATTATTGGAAAATAATTGCAAGATATTTGGAAGGATCAGATTGAATTAGTTTGGTGTAAACACTAATGTTAACCTACAAAAGTCTAAAGACTTTAATTTCAAGTGGTTTTTCTGGTGGTGATTGGGCAATGTACCTGGAGAAAATCCCCTACTCTTTCCGAAGAGTGTAAACTGCATTCTTCAACATGTTCACAACTTAACGGTCTCTTCTGCAATTTTTTATACTTGTTTTTCAGTCCTTCACATGGTTCAAATTTTTCTCAAAATGTTGTGTGGAAATTTGAATCTGCCTCCAGCTCAAATACAAAATGGGCAACGGATGGAATAGAACCGGGTACCAAAGGATCTTCATGGTTCAGTAGACACATAGTGACTACCACCAGTTTAGCCAAATGAGCTATGTTGCTCTCAAGGAGAACATTCCCAGTGTAGAATGTGTTTCATCTTAACCACACTATAAAATGAGGCCTGCGTTGATTACGGTACTACAGTAGTTCTGCAGAACTGGAAACATTATTGTTGATAAACGTTTTTTATATTGTTTCTGTTGTTTAATTATTTTATATAATGATGAAATTAAACAAAAAATTTGGGAATAAATTTATATTTATTAATACGTATATAATTTACCGAAGAAACAGTATAAAACAATCCGTTTATCCGCATCGCACAACTTGCCCACTAACAAATTACTTTCTATCAGTCAGATAGTCAGTGCGATGTGAAAGCAATGATAATGATACGGTCTTTTATACTGTTTCGGTCGGTAAATTATATAAGAATGAACATAAATTTATTCTCATGATATAAGATGGAAACAAAATATAATACGTTTTCTTTGTTTTCATGCTATAGTCATTATATAATTTAGCAACAGAAACAATATCAAAAACATAAATTTATTCCCATGATATAAGATGGAATAAATTAAATTTTTGTTTATTTCCATCACGGTATATATGGTAATTTAATGACAGGAACAATATAAACAACATCAACATCAATGTTTCCATGGCACTGACTTATGGTAGTACCTAGTACTACTACACTGTAGTACCGTAAGTCATTTGTTAGGGGGCAGATTTCTAGGCCAAATTTTTGTGCGAAAAATGTATTCTTCGCGCAGGGCTTACTATACAGTCTGGTAGGGGGCGAGATTGAAAGAGGCGAGTTTGCTAGGGGACTAATTAATTGACTGGAATCCACCTCACTTAATCATACTTACCATCAATTTGGTTTTGGCTAAAGAAATGGGCCTGTAAAACAAAAAAATAACACAATCAACCATTATTTAATACAAATGTTTATATTTATAATAATACTGTAATAAACAAAGGCTGATTAATCAGTCCAATGGTATTTACACCACCGTAGGGCAGGCCTGGTTATGATATTATATACTAGGCCAAACAGTAACACATCACACCACGCCCATCAGCACTGAACCGATGACTCAGCCGACTTAAACAGATCAGGCCTACTCCTAGCTAGGCCTACGCCTATATTTGTTGGCCTAGCCTAGTTTAGCCAAGGAGTTATAGACCACCGGTAGGCTAGGTATATGGAAAAGAGTAGTCTTTTAAATACTTCACAATGTAAAGAATTAACAACAATAAAAAGCTAGAAAAACTTACCATTTTCTGTAGTCTAGTCACCCGCTCGCCTATCTACCTTTACATAAAAAGTATAAACAATATTTCGGTTTAGCGCCCTCTATAGATAATATTATACAAAAGTAAATTGTATCTATCAATTTTATTTAATAAAACGAACAATTAAATTGTCTTACTTTCTTATTTTTACTTTTAGAAATCCATAAAACATGTAATATAAGAATGTTATACATTAAATAGATTTAATAAATGTGATACAAAACTTAATACTATGGGACTTAATATGAAACCTCAATATGGTCAATTTGAAAGTGCGCAAAATTAGGTCTTGGCCATATTACAGTATTTTTATTTTAATAATCAAATATTTACTTATTCCATAATATGTTATGCGAATGTTATGTTGTTTCAGATTGTCACAAAATAAACTGATTATACACAATTATTTGTTAACCAATGACTGGTTAAAGTCCTTGGTATAACTAACTACTAAAAAATACGTTGCAAATATTGGTGCAAATGTGTTAAAGTTATTCTCTGACATACCCATCGTTCCCATTCGCGAGTTTATTTACTTTGGTGTTGTTTGTGACAGATCGTGTTTAATATGCTATTAGAGACAGCTAAACTAATAAGCAATAAGTAGATCTCCGCATAGTACACTATAGGAAAATTATTGTACGAAGGTTAGATTTAATGCATGAAAAAAATTCCTGAGGGCCTGCAAGACCAGAAGGAAATTTTTAAATGCATTAAATCTAACCTAAGTATAATAATTTTCCGTTTAGTGTACGATGCATGCTCTACTAATTGCTTTATAAGTCAATCGTCGTCTTTTAATTTTAGTTTTTTATAACCAACTTTTGTAGCAGCCATCGGTTGCTATAGTGATATGATCAGTATACGTGTGCGTATTTACATTTAGCTGTGTGTATGCTGATTTTCGCTCCTGCAGTACGCGTATAACTCATCTAATACCCCATTCAGACTAGTATCGCATTGCGATCGGTTGTAGCAATTGCGACACCCAATCGCACCCAATCGCAAAGTAAAATCGTGTGTGAAAGTTGACCAATAGCAGTCGATATGTAATCGATATCGCAATTGTTACCCGTTGCGATTGGGTGCTACAATCTTTATTACTCCCGATTTCCACGGAATCTGATCGCAACGAATCACAAGGAATTCCACAGGCACTGTTTGGCTGAGGTCAGGCAATAGGCCTAGCCACCGGAGGCCAGGCCCTAGAATGTAAAGTTTGTTTGTGTTGGTCTGAATGCGTTCGTTGATTGCGATCGGGAGTAATCAGTTTTGGATTACCACCGATTACATCGCAACCGATCGCAAGAGAGTGTAGTCTGAATAGGGTATTACATCAGCAGTACAGTACGAATACGATGAATAACTATTGTGTTAGAAAGATGCGGTCCTTATACCACTGCCGCTGCCACTAACGGTTAGCAAGCGCTATCGGTTAGAAAGTTGAGCGCGTTTCTATCATCAACCAATTACGTACGCGTTTACAGTTTCCTATTAGCCAGTGATTCGATCATCATCATATTCTTGGATATTCGGATCGGGATTTTCTCGTATAGACGCACGGCAACTAACGGTTAGCAGGATCCGAATCCTGCTAACCGTTAGCTGCCGTGTGAGAACATAGCCAATGTTAGTTTTTGATAACCAACTGTTGTAGCAATCATTGGTTGCTGTGATATGATTAGTATACTGTGTGCGTATTTACATTAGCAGCTGTGCGTATGCTGATTTGTGTTCCTGCAGTACTCGTTAACGATACGATGATTGTAATTTGTAATGTGTTAGAAGAACTTGTTGGTAATGCTATTTTGATAGACATCCGTCAAAGAACTAAATATAGTCACTGACCTCTTTGGTCGGTCCAGACAGGTAAAAATCGTGCGATCAGTCATAACTACGATAGGCTATGGCACGGCTTAGTAGGAGGAGGCCTCGGTGGCCTCGCCTGCCTGACCGCACATCCAATTTTGTTTCTTGAGTCTTTTAAAAAGGCCTAGAATATTCCTATTAAACGTTCAGTTTTTTGTTTATGAGGGTCCTTGATTCAATGAATTCCGCAATCCCGGCAAAATTTCAGTTTTTAAGAAAAATCTAATTTTTGTATAATGTTATAAAGATTTATAAATATAATACGGAATTGCTTTCCTAAGAATGAAAAAAATGTAAAATAAGACTGAAATTTGATTTTTTTTGTGTTCCACACAAAAAATTTTACAAAAAATGCGGATGAATTTTTCATGTTGATTTTGCGATAGGTCGTGAGAAGAAATATCGTAGGCGCCGAAAACATTAGCCTATCCAACGCTGCTAGGGTATGCCTAGCCTTACCTCGATTTAGGTTCTGTTATCACACATAAAAACGGCCGACATGATATTTTCTAGTATTGACACTTGTGAAATATAATATTTCATAGGAATTATTTCAAATTTGTTAAAAAACTGATAAAAACTGATTCTGACTGAGATTTTGACACTTAAACAAACATATCTCAACCTA